TCCCCGACGACAGAGACAATTTCTTCTCAGAAGGCCAGAGGGCTTCAGAGAAGCCCCGCCGCCTTCTGAGAAGGCCTTCTTCTTCTCGCTTCCCCCCCTCGCTCGCCGCCTAGGGCGTATTCTTCACAACGCGAGGGTATTCTGGAGGAGAAGGGGGAGGAGGAGGAGAAGAAGGGAGAGGGGGAGGAGAAGGAGGAGGAGGAGGAGGAGGGAGGAGGAGGAGAAAGAGGAGGAGGAGGAGGAGGAGGAGGAGGCGAAGGAGGAGGAGGAAGAGGAGGAACGCGTTAGATTCCCTCGTGTTGCTTGAGAACTGCGCGACACGAGGCTCTCATGGTGTTCGCCATCCAGGAGGGCCCCCTGCCCAGCCCCAGAGAGCCTGCAAGAGGCGGCCCGGGATATATAGAGACGACTGGCCTCGGCGAAAGGGTCGGGGCTTCCGCGGGCCCCCCGCTCTCTCCAAAGCGTGACGTCGGACGTTTTTGGGTCTCACCAGACGGGGCTGGCGATGCATCGGCGATGCGCCGCATCGCCGATGCATTGCCGATTCGGCTCGATGTGGATTCCGATTTCCTTCACGCCGACGGCGCTGATGCATCGCCGACGTCGCCAATCCAGAGCGTTCCGGAACGCCCTCAGAGCGTTCCGGAACGCTCCGAGAAGGCCCATGTGCCCGAGGCATCCTCCAGAGCCGCGGGATCTCAGAGGTTCTCGGTTTGTCCTCACCTGAGGTTGTCCTCGTCCTGGCCCTGTCTTATCTCTCTCCCTCTGCCTCTCCCCTCCCTTGGCCCACTCTTGGTCCCCTCGGGAGGCCGCCCCCGCGGACCCACTCTTGAGCCGAGAGGGGCCAACCAACCAACCTTCGAGTAGGGAATCGACTACAGAGTTGATTTGCCCCCCAATTGCTTCAGTCGAATACATGACGAATTCGACGTCTTTGGAATCAATTTCGGGGTAAATCAATTTGGGGGTAATCAATTCTGCAGTCGATGCCCTACTCGGAACCTGGAGGCTCTCCCGTCGGCGTCACCCCAACATACCAATACTATGTGTGCTGCGCTCTCCGATGGGCGACGCGCGCGCCGAGACACTTTACAGTATGAGCTCCGTTGCGGGCGCTGTCTGGCCATCCCGCTCGGGAAAGGATCTATATTGCAAAGATGGCCATCTTATGTGCTCGGGTCGGACGCACGCCTCCAAGGAGGACAAATACAGTCGGACCGAGGTGTAAGGTCGAGGTCGGTTCGGGGAGGAGGAGGAGCAGGAGCAGGAGCAGGAGCAGGAGCAGGAGGAGGGAGGAGGGAGGAGGGAGGAGGGTACCCTCATGTTCTTCGTGTCTGTGGGATGTCCTTGTGCGTCCCATGCCCCTCCCGCCCCCTCGCGCTGCTCCTGCTTCCGCTTCCGAGGCCTCATCGGCAGCCTCGCTGCGCCACGGACGAGTGCCCACTCCGCAGGGGATCCCCGTGGCCCGCCCGGGCGGGCGGGCCGAGGAATTCGGCCCAGGCTGAAGTCGGGCACGCCCCTCTACAGGAGGAATGTGCAAAAATGGTTGATCAATATTCTAGGGGGACGATTTTTATAGTATAATTGAGCATGGTTTGAACATGTTCTGGCTGGTTTCATTTTTTGCCCAAAATCCGCCTGTAGGAGGACATGCCCGACCTCAGCCCAGGCGCCGAACTCTGGGCCACTGTGGGCCCAGAAGGGGCTCTGGCTGGCGGGCCGTCCCCGCGGACACGCCGACGACGATGTTGGTGGGGGTGGTCCGTGGCCAACCCAGCTGCAGGAGAGCGTCGATGGTGTTTTCCCAAAGTTCGCCGTGCCGACGTCGCTCGATGCAGTCGCGCACGTGACACTCAGGAGAGCATGGTGGGTGATTTCCTACACTTTGCTCTGCGCGAGTTCGGCTTCGCAAAAACCATACCCCCAACATCGCCGCTCACCAACATCGCCGTCAGCCTGGCCCTGGCGTCCCCCAGGCCTCGGCCGGGGAACCTGTGTGGGGCCGAGGTTCGCCGTGGCCCGGCAGCCCACCCGCACGACCACAACGACAGCCGAGGTTCGCCGTGGCCCGGCAGCCCACCCGCACGACCACAACGACGAGGAGGAGGAGGAGGAGGAGGAGGAGGAGGGGGAGGGGGAGGGGGAGGGGGAGGGGGAGGGAGAGGAGGAGGAGGAGGAGGAAGAGAAGAGAAGAGAAGAGAAGAGAAGAGAAGAGAAGAGACGAGAAGAGAAGAGAAGAGAAGAGAAGAGAAGAGAAGAGAAGATTAGAGGAGGCTGCCTGGACTGAACCAGTCCGTATGGCTTCGTCGAGGGGGAGAAGGAGGCGCTTTCGCTGGCCGCGCCCCGCTCGGCCTTCCAGGGCCCTTGCATCCCATGTCGTGCGTCCTTACCACACGGGTGAATGCAGACCTCGGTCGGGGGATCTGTTCGTGGCCGAGGTTCGCTTTGGCCGTGCGAGTCCCCTCGTTCCTTCTGGGTTGTTCCTTGTAGTAGCACGATGGTTGCAGAAAGAGCACCAGGCTCTTGCAGCAGAGACCATCGTGGGTGGGCCGGGACGGCCGCGCGCTCGCGCCCGGCCGGCCGGCGGCGGCTGCGCCGCGGGGCCCGCCGAGGCATCCGCGCGCCCCGGCAGCCCGCCACCAGCACCCGGCACGAGCAAGACGGGCCCGTCGCCTTCCGCGGCCGACACGATCAGCTCGGGCGCGGCGACGCCCTCGCGGAGCTCCGTGCGGCCGAGCCCGGCGAGCCCGGGGGTGTGGGGCTGCCGCCGCCGTCGACCGAGCAGTGGCGCGGCGTCCTGGTCAGACTGTGTCGGCCCACCCTGAGAGGCTGTCTGTGGGACTTTGCTGTTCGGCATGGTCATCCTGCGATGGAGTTCTGGTTTTGGCTGGGACGCCTCCGCCTCCGCCTCCTCACTCACTCACTCACTCACTCACTCACTCCCGCCTGCTTCCCCCTCATCGCATTCAGGTCAGACATTATCATTCCTATTCAGACCCACTCACACTCACATTGACTCACACTCAGATCCACTGATGATCAGTCTTGCGCATATTCAGACCCACTAATTCACGAACCATTCCCACTCTGATGCACTCATACCTGGCCAAGCCGTACTCATACTCATACACACGTACCACTCCCAGTATTATCATTTTCATCCACCTACGATCACGGCAACATGACAGGTCTCACGCCCAGATTGTGGGGATGTCTCAGGTGGTTTGCTCGTTTGTGGAGAGCCTCATCATCACCGCGACAAAGCAGGCGTGGCATTTGGCACGCCAAAGGGAGCCAGCCGGGAGTGGGAGAATCTTCTGTCCGCGACCAGATTGTGGGGTTGACTTCAGCCCCATGCTCATTACGAAATAACACGCGTGGCATTTGGGCATCCCAATGGGGAGCTGGCAGAGACACTCACAGATGGGAGTGTCAGGAACTGAGCTGCACATACGGGGATCTCGGCGGCGAACAACGTTCCATGGCTTGTAACTCGTGTCTTTGCAGCATTTCTGGTCCATGCGGTGTTTGTTTTTGAGTTCCTAGGGCATTCTTCAGTTCTGATATTATGGTGTGGTAAGCCAAGAGGAACACGGGGACGGTCGGTCTCTGCTCAAGTCGACGCCCGCGCCGCCGCCGTCGTAGTCGAGGACCCAGTGTTCTGGCTTTGTTCAATCTTGGCGGTTTCTGCTCCATCTCGGCGTCCGCTGTCCGTTCTCGGGTCCTGGGCCTGTCGGAATGGTTCTGAGGACCTTTCGGGTCTTCTGGTTGAAACAGAAAATTGTCGGACCCCTTGAGATCGAGGTTCGATGATCAGGTCATTGCAGGTGCCTGTCGCAGCTTTCTGATCCCCCTTTGGCCACACCCTCCGTGCCGCACATGGCAAGCCCTGCACGCGAGTGAGGGGGGTCGATCGCCGACCCCAAAAAATCGCGAGGAGCTCCGACAGTTTCGTGGTTCGCCCTTCTATCGCGTTGCCTCGTGCAGAACATACGTGGGAGGACCAGGCGGGGCTTGACAGGCTTGCTCGTGCCTGCGCAGTCGGTTCGGAGGGCGTGCCGAGGTGTTGAGGTGATTCAGGCGAGGAGAAAGTACCCATACTGCCCAAAATGCGACCCTTGCCTCGTTTTGGCCATTTTGGGAATCCTGGGCGGCCCTCGTCGCCACCGCTGGATTCGCGTCGAGATTCTTGTCATAACGCACCTCAGGAGAGGTCCGGGGAGGAGCGGTGTTGGTACTTTCGGGTCTCCCGAGTGATGAGTTGGTCGGGGGGGGGGGCGACCCGCAGTCAGGCGTCAGTGCACGGGGGGCCCTCGCCCTCGGATTCGGCAGGGTCGCGCTCTGCCCACGCGGCGGCGACCCCGCCGCGGGCGCTCCAGGCTGAACGCTGCCAATGGCCCAGTATGGAGCCATCTGGCGATGGAGAAGCCGCCCAGCGCTCCAGGCTGAGCGATTCATGCAGTGTCAGAGACCAACCCCGGGGTCATCATCATCATCATCATCAGCAGCAGCAGCAGCATCATCATCAGCAGCAGCAGCATCATCATCATCATCATCACCATCATCACCGTCGTCATCATCATCACCAGCAGCAGCATCAGCAGCAGCAGCATCATCGTCATCGTCACCGTTATCGCCATCGTCACACAATCACCATCACCATCATCATCCTCATCTTCATCCTCATCCTCCTCCTCATCATCAGCAGCATCAGCAGTGTCAGCATCCGAATCAGCATCACCATCATCATCAGCATCGTCATCATCATCACCGTCGTCATCATCATCATCAGCATCATAGTACCACATTTCGCTCAAGCACTTGCTTGTTCTGGTACTTTCTGTGCGCACCTGCGCACCTGCGGCCACTCCGCCCCATCGCCGATGGTTGTGGCCGCGCGTCTCGCCCGGCTTCGGGGCCGTGTCGCCTCGGGGGTCGCGTGCGGCTTCCAGCCTAGTGCTGTGCAGGGCCCTGCCAAGTGCAAGCTCAAGGTCGTCCTGGACCCTGCCGGCGTTGCTACGTCCACGAGTACTCCTGCCATGGTCATGCGCATGCTGGTCTTGGTCTCTATTATTGGCATGGACCATATTGTGGTGGACCGAGGGCATCGATTCTCCGGTGGCCGCGTGGAGGCATGATTTTGGTTTCGCCAGGCTGGCGCTTCTCAAGGTGGTCTTGGTGGCGCAGGTGGACCTGGAGGGCGTGGAGGCGAACCTGATGGTCCTCCTGGCGGTGGCGGTGACGGATTTGATGATCGTGATGGACATCATCGAGGTTCTGGACTGCGCCGTCGAGGGCATCGCGATAGTCCTGAAGGTGGTGATCCCTGGAGTGGAGGCCGTGACCCATAGTCAACATGGGGCCAGGTGGCGAAGGTACCGCGTCGACATGGTGATGGAGCCGCTCTTCCCGTGGTTCCCTCGTTCCCTTTCGTGTTCAATCGGGATGCGTGCGAGTTTTTTCCTCCGTGCTATCGTGTAGGTGATGCGGGCGTCGCTGATGATCATCTTGGAGGTGACTTTCTCTGTCTTCCTGTGGAGGCTGGGTTCGATGTTCAAGATGGTGACCCTCTTCTTCATGATGGCGTTCGTTCCGATGTCGTTCGTTCCGATCTTCCTCATGACGTTCCTCCTGGTGACGTTCGTGCCGACCTTCTTCCCGATGCGGACCCTCATGCTAATGTCGTTTTGCTTCCAGGTTACGGCCGGGCAGACTATCTTCCAGATGCAGAGGATGCTGGCGATGTTCAGACGGGTGCCGTTTTATTTTCCTCTGCCTGTTGACGTTCGTGCCAATCTTCTTGATGACGTTCCTACTGAAGGCGTCCCTCCTGCTGGCGTTCTTCATGATGACGTTCGTGCCGATCGTCCTCATGATCTTCCCCTCTGATGGCGTTCGTGCCGATGTTTTCCTGATGCTGACCTTCATGCTAATGTCGTTATGCTCCCAGGTGACGGTCGGGCAGGTCATCTTCCAGATGCATGTCGTGCAGCTTCTCCTATTGTGGACTGTCGTGTCGATCTTCATCCCGATATCGATCATGCCACCGATCTTCTTCCCGAGGACTCACGCCGATCTTCTTCGTGACGACGTCGTTCATGACGCTCGTGCCGGCCTTCATCCTATTACTGTTGTCGTTTGTGCCGATCTTCCTGAAGACGCTCATTTTTGCTCTGACAAAGACCAGCCGCACGCGTACCAGCCTGCTTGAAAGATAAAGGCCACCGACGGAGACGCTATTCGACCCAGCTCCGCGCAACGCGGGAGAGGTCGTCGTCGTCGTCGTCCGAGTCGCTGGCAAAGGGGAGGCCATGAAGGTCCTCCCACAAGGCCGAAACAGCCTGGGACACAGGAGGAGAGAGATGCTCCAGCCCCGACCACCCCGCCCCCACGTCCGACCCACTCCCAACCCCAGAGGTCAGAGGGAGCGAGGGAAGTGGCGGCATGCTCGCAGTCTCTCCGGGCCTCCTCTTCCGCAACAAAATTGGAGGCCCTAGAAACAAACTCGATTTGTTCGGGTGGCAACCCTTCAGCAGGTTCTGAAGGCGGTAGAAACGAGAGTCCCTCACTTGTGTGCCAAGCCTGCGCTGACTCGTCAGGCATTCCCAGGCATTCCACCGAGAGACCCTGGCTGCGTTTTTCAGGGTACGCTCCGCAGAGTGAGCAAAACAAAACTGGCCCTGCCCGGTGCAGCGAGTGCATGCCAGCCCTGTCTTGGCACTTGAGCTTGCGCAGGGTGAGTCGGGCCTTAGCCGACCGTAGACACACCGTGCAGCGGTAGCGTCGGCCACAACATGTGACCGCAGGATCAAAACGTGAGTGTGGCCTAGGCGGGCCGAAACCTCCCTCGATGGTGCCGATGACCCCGCCTAGAGCCTGAGCCTGAGCGTCCAGCGGGGTGACATCGCCTATCCTCGCCGCGACACGCGTGCAAAACTGGGCGACTATCTGGACCGCACCACGCGAGGCACGGTGAGCACCGCGCAAAATCCTCACATCTTGATGTATTGCCGCCCCACGCTTGGCGGACGTGTCGGCCTGAGCGTTGCCGAAACGCTGCCATGCCGTGATAACTCCATCCGCGATGGCGGAAACAGGCGAGTGTGCTGTGACGTGAGTCACCTCCACCGCCTCCACCCCACGGTCCAACACCAACCTCCAAACCTCCCTCCATAAGTAGGCCATGGGGTCGCTAGCGTCCGTGCCAGCACCTGACCCCTGGCGCCACACATCGACAAGAGGCTTGCAGTCAGTAAAGAATTTCAGCTGCGCACCCATGTAGCGGAGAGCCATGAGGAAACTGAAAAGCTCCGCTGCGGGCACCGTCTGAAGCAACACAGGAAGCGGTCCATGCATTCTCGCAACCTCTTTCCACTGGGAGTCTAGTGAGCACAGCCCCCAACCACATCTCCTAAGACGACAAAATTGCCCATGCACTCCCGAGCCATCTCCAAACACATGCACGTCGAGCAGCAAGTCAGGCGACCGCAAGGTCCACACCACTCGCTCCTCGAGGCAAGGGCTCGGAAAAGCCAGGACGGATCAGGGACAAGAAAACGGGTCCAAAGCAGTGAGCGGCCGGCAGTCGTCTTCGCCAACTCAAGCATCTGACTGGCCAGCTCGAAACCTGCCTTGAAATCCCGACGGTACTCGGCGTGCACAGGGCAGTCGTAAAAACGGTGCCAGGTGGAGCCGACGCCCCTACACGCAAGACACTCTGGATTAATCGCTCCACCAGCTTCATATAGCCTCTCTTGAGACCAAAAACCTACCGCAAAAAGGCACTTGAGGGGCCCTTGATGCTTGGGGGTCCAATCTGGGCCTCTAAGCGAGGCAGGAAGGACGAGGGACCTCAGAGGCTCGAGGAGAGGAGGATGGGGACACAGCGAGGCCCATGACGCATTCTTCGCCAGAACCTGCTGCCAAATCCAACGCTCGGTAGCCTCATCAGCCAACCGACCCGCGCCCCATCGGCGACATTTTCTCTATAAACACGGGACCGCGGTGGGTCATCCAGCGGAACGGGCCCAAACACTTCCAACCTAACCGCATCATCGCGCCCACAAGGGCCGAAGCAGGTCCGCGAAATGCGGACCAAACCTTATTCTCGGGGAGCGCCGACAGACGAGCCCAAGCCCCGCTCAGAAGACGTGCCATGTCAGATCTCGCCGCCCATCCATCCCACAGAGCACGCATCCAGTATAACATCGGCCCACGATTGCACTTGTAGGCTGGGTCGATCTGGCGGCCTGCGATCATGAGATCAAGCGACAAGGATCTGCCAGTGTGCCTGTGCACGAAGCCAGCCCGTGCAAGCTGCCGAGCCCGCAACAGATGAGTGTGACTGATCCCGTGCACTCCGACACCCCACAGCACGCCAGGTTTGAGGCCCGTCTGGACCAGTTTGATAGTTTTGCCCCCAGCTTTGGCCAGTCGCTTGCACCGAGGGACCCTGGAAGCCATCTTGCCCAATCGCTTAGCACGGACAGCATGCAGGACGCGATGGCCACCCCCGACATCTAATCCCAAGTTACGCACCGATCTTGTCAGGAACTTCGCCGAAGACGGGTCGACTTTGCGAGCGACGCTCCGAAGGTTCTGACCAACGACCGTCTGGCGCTTCTCGGGGGGCGATATGGTGAACCATATCTGGAGCAGCTCAGAGGTGAGGAGGTTCTCAGCACCCTTTAGATCATGAGCCACTTCCCAAGCATCCCCTACCCTTTGCAGCTGCAAGCCATCGACCACAATCGCGAGATCGACGGACGCATAACGCTGAGCAGCGGCATCAGCAGGAGAGAGGAGCACGAGTCGCAGCAGCGAAGTAGCACAATTGCAACCTGCGACGATCGTCTGATTGGTCGAGACCACCTCTGTCGCAATCATTTCGAATAAGACCATCCTGTCCAGGCTGTAGGTGGCCAGGGGGAAGCGGAGCGTTTTCCCAGAGAATTGATGTCTGCGGGCGACAGCAGCGACCACATGATGAGGCACATGTTCATATGCTTTGACCAAGTCTAGCAGCTTAGACCCTGCCGCCTTGCCCTGGTCCCGAGCCAACTCCGCCTTGAAAATCTGCTTCCAAACGCAGATATCACTTGACGCCCCCGAATCACCAAACCAAAAACTCCGAGGGCGATCGATCTCCCAGGGGCCAGCAACTTTCCAGCGGGCCCATCTGGACCACATCCTGAGAGGAGACGGGAAGATACCAATAGGCCGATGCCCTCCGTCTGGCGGCGGCTTGGGCAGTAGAGCGATGAGCAGCAATGCCCAACACCTGGGCACGTGGAACAGGCGCTGCATCTGCTCCCAGATGCACAAGAAAACAGCAACGGCGCCATCGTCGAGAAAAGACCAGTGACGAGGATGAAAGCCACATACCCCCACGGCCGTGTGCGTACTGTACGATCGAATCATGGCTGCAAGCTCCTCGTGCGTCGGTGGCTCGAGCTCGGGTTCATCTTCGCACCAGCTGAAATCAGGATCAGGAAAAACTTGTCCTACCCCCCAGAGTTCGCGCCAACTTTGAGCTCGTGCTTCGGCTTCTTCCAAGACACCCAGAGGAGCACCGTTAGGCCCTGATCGCTGTGAGAGCCCACACGTAGCCCATTTGGGAACCTCTTTCGTGCACCTGTGTCCCAGACGAGCCCCACCAGTGAGAGCCTCAGCCACCCAGTTTCTCCAAGCCCCGGCCCTCCCCGAGGCCGCATGGTGCTCATGTTCTTGGGCCCACTTGCGGACCTGCCAAATCAACTCGTTGAGCTCCGAGGTCGCGGCAGGGTTGACTGCCAAAATCCTAAGCCTCCAGGACTCCCAGTGCTTGCAGTCAGTGACCGGGGACTCATAGTTCACCAACTTCCTGAGAATCAGCCCAGCTTGCTGTAACCCCCCCAAGGTAGGCCGTGGCCCATGCCAGAGGTACAGAATGTCTTGGGGCCGCCTCTCGAAAACCCGCCACATCCGACCTTCGCCGATGGCTCGAGGGTGAGTGGACGCGGGCGGGCCCAGGAGGGGGGCCTGGACCACCTTGGGGGGGCTTCCTCGTCCTCGATAGCGTGGATCGTCTTCCACCTGGAGAACACGAGTTAAAGTAAGTTCTGCTCCCTGAGCCCACTGGGAGGTGACAGTATCCAACATATCTTTTGAACACTTGCCGTTCTTGAGAACCTCCAAGAGATCATCCCATTCCAGTGGCCTAGGGTCGCACCCAATAGGACGAAATAACGGGAGCGCCGATGGTTTCTTCAGCCTGGGTACCGTCACCTGCCTGGGGCTGCCACTGATTGCCAGCACAACTGGGCGGTGCGGCCTCGTGCAGGTCGACCACGTCGCCACACAGCAACGGTCAACGAAAGGCTTGAGCACATTCGATACAACAAATAGTCGATAGAAGATCGAGATGTTCCAAGCTGGCACGTCCACTGAGCATCATCGAAAACCACGTCAGCCTGGAGGTCCCCTAGCCACCCAGACTCAATGAGCTGCTCACCAGGGAACTGAAAACCTCCTCCCAGTATGAATGGCATCCCGTACGCACGAAGAACTTCCCCAATGTTGTGGAGGAGGGTGAGGTTCTGACCCGTGCAGCCGATCCCCGTGTGTAAATAGACCGAACCGACAACAACTCCGCCCGTGCAGAAGCCGCTCCAGAGACCTAACCGAAACCGATGATCAGGAGGTAAAGCGATACCAGGGGGGAGAGCGTCGAGGCTTTTGAGGCCCCATAGCTTCGGTGTAGCCATGCCCACTCCTCCAGACGTGCCAGACTCCGAACGACCCGACGGCGCCGCTGGGGATAGCAAAGAGTTCAGCCCTGCCTTCTGCAGAGCATGCTGGACGTCTGCCAGCTGAAACTCAGACCGGTGATGCTCCTGGAACAAAACCAAATCGGACTCCACGGCGTCAATCACCTCAAGGAGAGGCCTGCGGGAGGCCCTGGAGCCCTTGTCGCACTCCACTCCCCACGAAGTACTACTAGACGAGCAGACCCTCCAGACCGCAGGTCGCTTAAGACGATCAGGCTTGGTTGAAATATAGCCCTCCGCTGGAGATGCCGAAGATACGAAAGAAC